AAATACACATATCAAAGTTTATTCAAGATAACAGAAATGATATCGCGTGACTCGACAGATGGGCGTGACATTAGATCTCACGGCTATGAAAAAAAAAGAATCCAATGGCCAGTTATTTAATACGTTGGCAATGTGGAAATTTGTTAAATAGTATGCGTACACGCGTTGCGATATTTAAAAAATCATCCCAATCAAGATATTGGAATCGAGGACAGTACCAAATTTAGAATAAAGATCAATACAAGACAGTTGACGGTACCTCCATGACAAACCATTTTTATTTATTTATATTTTTATCGATCCAAGCCTCTTATCTTTTTAATTTTATGCCCCTAAAGGAAATAAATCTAAAATTCAGGTTTCTGGGTACAAAATTACAAACACGTGTATACTTTATAAACCACGAATCATTGACAGAAAATCCATACACTTGCTCCAATTTTTTTTTTATTGTTCTTCGTGCCATCGGCAAAGCCCAACTTTTACATTTTTTCAAACTACCGGACTATCGCGAGCACCGCATCGAAACGAAAGGAAGCGATGATTGCTCCGAAATGAGGTTGAAAAATACACCTTGAACTGTAGACCCTCTGTTGTTACGACTCGCCATTTTCACAGCTGCGCCCATTACGCAGCTATACACGGCTCGATTCGATTCCTTGCCGGTCCGAGGATGGGATTGCTGTTAAATGTCGTGGAACCCTTTGAGAACTCAATACCTCCCCTCCTCCACTCTCCGAGCTGCTTCCACCGTAGTATAGTCTATTAAAGGATCCGAAGCCCGTCGAGGTCTGGCATTTCTCAACTTTAGTCCGATGCAACTTTTTCTCTGTATACCGGAAATCCGTCGAGCTGCCGTACTTTAGGTACATTTGTGCGCGGTGTGTGATGTAACGGTTATTGGTTTTTTTTTTTTTTTTTTTTTTTTTTTTTTTTTAATCACAACTTTTAACATGCTGATAAAATAAAAAAAAATTTTAATTATTTCAGGGGTAAGACCTTGTTAAAACTTAAAGCTTCGAGCCGGAGGTACAGTTGCGTTACGACTTTATGAGATATTTACATGTTATCTTGTCCAGCCAAAAAGAGGCGTTATCTTTATTGCATTTGCTGAATTATCTTATTTTGTTTGCTTCTTCGATGTGTCTGTACTTTTTCAGTTAGTTTAAATGTAACCAGTTATGAATTTTGTAGATTGTATTTTTTTTCATTAAAAGTATAACAACAGTTAGTATTTTTGTATAAACTGCAGTAAAAGGTTTGTTTAAAATTCTGGACAAAACTTATTCTTTAAAATCTAAAATAATTTTACTTGTTGATAAAGACGTGTAATAGAGGGTTAAAGAAGCATGAAATATTTTTTTTTTCTCATGTTTCATATTATGTCTCGAAAAATTACTCCAAGGTATACTTATTGATACGATGGTCTCGAGTTTAGGTTTTTATCTTTACCTTATTGCGTATGTATCAAACAAAATTTCCTCATAAAATATATACATTGTAAAAGAAAAACTCGGATGTGTACATGTGTAAAAGTAGTATTTCTCTGGTCCTAGAATTTCACTCTTGAATTTTTTTTTTTTTTCCCAAGAGTCAAAAATCTTCAAGGAAATGCATATAGTAAATTCATAATAGTAAAACAAATAAACAACACTTTTTATTTCATTTCAATGTTATTTATTTTCGTAACGTGTTTCAGTCTTTACAAAAATGCAGTACATAATATTCCATGTACTGGTGTATCCACATACAACTCAACAATTCCAGTGAGAAACCAACGTATAATTTTGTTCTCACTCCATAACAATAACAATAACAACGAATAATTAAACATCGTGGAGATCGATGAAAAATTTAATTATAAATTCTGAGCTTGTTGAACAGTAAAAATTCTGTTGGTTTGACTTAAAAGTAAAACAATCAATTTATTTTAGAGGATTCGAAATATGACCGGAAAACAGTGTCATGGATTTATGCATAATTTTGAACATAAATGGTCTGTCGACAAATAAGTCAACAGGCGGTGGTGGCATACTCATTAACATGATTTCTACTCCTGAAACAAAAAATTTAATTATATTTGACACGTAGAAAAAAATTTTTCGTAATAAGTATTTTATCAGTGTTTTTGATTATTTGTAAATTTTTTTTAATTTACAAAATAAGCCAGTGAAAATATCTTTATAATTAAACAGTTAATTCACATAANCTGATGGGCGTGGGAGTCGTTGACGGGCAGGTGGAGGGTCTTGCGCATCTCCTGGGCGGAGGATCCATCAGCGCCGTACGCGGCCATCGACAGAACCGTGTGCGCGCTCAAGCCCGAGCTCACAAAGTTTCCCTTGTTTTTGCCGGCTAAGCTCTGGAACACAGACGCCCAAATGTGGTACACATCCCCATATCGTACATCCACCGCACATATAATTTTATGCTCAAGTATTGACGATTTAAATTAATGCATGTTATTATCGACGAACCTTGTGAAAGTCAGTGGTGAATCCCTCGGCACCCTTGGTCACGCTCAGGACCGCTTCGTCGATTTTTTCTGCCATTTCGTCGAGAGTTTTACTTTTTGTTTGTCCCTCTTGATACGTCGGCGATACTCGTGTCACTGCAGCCCAAGCAATTGTCGGCCACGTCTATGTAACTCCAAGTGTCGAAGTTGGCTGGCAACCGGGCTTGTATATATACCCACGCAAGGTGTGTAGGTGGTGTAGGCGCCGGCCAAAGTGGGGATCGGATGACTATATTTTTTACTCTGCGTTCCATGTGTGTTTATCACCGGCTACACCGTATACATATGAATTTCGTTAAATGTGTGTGCAGTTGGGATGATGCGACTTTTAATGATTCATTTCGTATACACACCAGTACTTACTTGTTTGTTGAATTCCCATGGACACACGAACGTTGTCGTATAAGTATTTTCTTAACAACAAAAAAATACGCTTGTTGACCTAAAACAAAATATAGTAAATAATGAATTTCAAAAACTAGAAGATTGCGATAGAGAGAGGAAAATTCGGAAAATTTGTTGCAATGCTTAGAGAAAAAACTGCAAAACTTACGGCATGGCTGAGCTGATTATTATCACCTGGCGATTATTAACTATGTGCTAGATAGATCGGTTAGTCATGTGCGTAGAACAAGCGCTCCTCGAAGAAATATGATTAAAATTAACTGTACGTGTATACGCGTCATAGGTGATTAAAATAACAGGTGCAATCATGATGGACGACGTAAAGTGAAAAGGGACCTTCAAATTATTTTTTATTGTACAGCTGTCTCAAGATTTACTAATGAGTTCTATCTACATCCACGTGGTATGGGACAATTGGCTTGAAGAATTAAAGTGCAATCATCTATTACAATTCACTGATTTGTCCACGTGAATTAAAAATTAGCCGATTCTCTTCGATTCTCTTGAAAACAATCCGACTCTCTTCAATTGCCGATATATTTCAAAAATTTTATTATCACGTTACTTTTCATGAAAAAATGTATTTCAACCGATTTCTTGGACCAACGTCACATCTCATCAATACTTGCTGGTCATTAGGATTACTAATTGTACCACCATAATTAAAGGTTTTTTTTTGTCGAATATTTATAGTTTTTTAGTAAGTACTTGGTACAATAAACAAATAAAAATTCCAAGCGTTGAGTAACAGAAATTTTTTTTTTTATAGAGCAACAAGCTTGGAAAAGCAATTTGGCGTAAATGTTTAATACCAACTAAGATAAAATTAAATTATACGCTAAAATTGCAATTGCATACCCACCACATAGGGAAGAGCAACCACTTTAGCGTCAATGTCATGCAATTCTCTGTAGTAAAACTTGTCGTTGATGAACATCATGGGGACTTTGACAGAAGTCGTTGCATCAACTTGAAACAGTTCTTCTTTCGTTATTCTTGCATCAAATTTCTTTTTCCAGTCCCCTTTGAAGTACACGGCGTTCAAAAGTATCAGCCTCGTAGTTTCGTCGAGATCATCTACAAGGAATTACACAAAAAGTTCTTGAAAAATATAACACCCAGCAATTTTATAAGCGTTTCAATGATGCGAACCTGACTTTACGATCTCCTTGATTTTTCCATTGGTTTTTTCAACGCACCAACCGTTGATTGCTTTGGCAGATTCAACGTTTTTTTTAAAATTCAACGATTCACTCTCGGATCGAAAGTACGTGCCGGTTATTTTCTTAAAACTATCTTTGATCTTGACATCGTCGGCGGTATAAATTTTGTTGGCAATTTTCAGAGTGACTTTTTGTGTATCCTGTTTCAAATAAAATACCATTAATAGTATGAGCTACTGTTGAGATAATATACGTTATAAGTGTGTACGGCTGTGACATCAGTATACAAATTGTTGGAAGCATTGCTAATAATAGTTTCGTTGAAAACGAAGTGTTCGGTAAATTGAAGAAATACATGTTCACGCGAGTACTTATATACGAGCAACGTAAGATATGATATCGTTTCGGGCTTTCCCGTATCGCCTTAAAAAAAAATATCTTGTATTAGTTATCAGTACTTTTTTTCCGCGTCTCTCTGAAAAAATTTACGTAAAATTTTGCTTCGAATCGTGGCTCAATTTCAGAGTGAATTATGAAATAATATTTCGCGAACAATAAATAACGAACATCCGCATATCAGCTATGTTAAATTATTTCTTGTCTGAAAAAAATGTTGCGAGTAGTAACTCTTCTATTACAAATCGTGAGTCAAGCACGAAGATTAACCGAACTCATTGATTAAAAAAACGCCACACCCACCGTCATAAAAAATAGATTGAAACACATTTTTCTTGAAAATTAACGTGAAAATAAAATTTTTTAAATACGTTTCGGCAATTGAAGAGAGTCGGATTGTTTTCATTTTAAAAGAATCGTCAACGGGACCAAATTATTATTCACCCCATTCCCCATTTGTCCCTTTCATAAAAAAAAAAAAAAAAAAAAAAATGTATATTATTAAAAACTTTATGTTACCAGTCACTGCAGCTGCTTCGCTGCCCTCTTCATTGACTTCGATAAAAGCTTTTTGCATAACTTTCGAAACCATGACGCTTTCATCGCATATGCCCTTGAAATTTGCTCTTTCCGTAAATATCTCGTTCATACCCAACTGTAAAATAATATACTCATTGCAAAAACATTTATTAAAATTTAACGTAAAACTGTTAAATGTAGTTATCGTACCTCCATCAAGTGGGCATTTAACTCGTGTGTTGATTCGACTTTGAATTTAGGTAACGAAAGATTAACTTCTTGGCGACTGTATTTAAAATGCTCATACTGGAGCTCGAGTTTCTCGAGGTTGTTCTCGATTTTTTCCAAGCCGTCAATAGCGTTAGGGACTACAATTACCATGAACAAATCTTCATTCTAAAGCGAAAATAAACATAAAATTTAATTATTATTATTATTTATNCATCCACCGCACATATAATTTTATGCTCAAGTATTGACGATTTAAATTAATGCATGTTATTATCGACGAACCTTGTGAAAGTCAGTGGTGAATCCCTCGGCACCCTTGGTCACGCTCAGGACCGCTTCGTCGATTTTTTCTGCCATTTCGTCGAGAGTTTTACTTTTTGTTTGTCCCTCTTGATACGTCGGCGATACTCGTGTCACTGCAGCCCAAGCAATTGTCGGCCACGTCTATGTAACTCCAAGTGTCGAAGTTGGCTGGCAACCGGGCTTGTATATATACCCACGCAAGGTGTGTAGGTGGTGTAGGCGCCGGCCAAAGTGGGGATCGGATGACTATATTTTTTACTCTGCGTTCCATGTGTGTTTATCACCGGCTACACCGTATACATATGAATTTCGTTAAATGTGTGTGCAGTTGGGATGATGCGACTTTTAATGATTCATTTCGTATACACACCAGTACTTACTTGTTTGTTGAATTCCCATGGACACACGAACGTTGTCGTATAAGTATTTTCTTAACAACAAAAAAATACGCTTGTTGACCTAAAACAAAATATAGTAAATAATGAATTTCAAAAACTAGAAGATTGCGATAGAGAGAGGAAAATTCGGAAAATTTGTTGCAATGCTTAGAGAAAAAACTGCAAAACTTACGGCATGGCTGAGCTGATTATTATCACCTGGCGATTATTAACTATGTGCTAGATAGATCGGTTAGTCATGTGCGTAGAACAAGCGCTCCTCGAAGAAATATGATTAAAATTAACTGTACGTGTATACGCGTCATAGGTGATTAAAATAACAGGTGCAATCATGATGGACGACGTAAAGTGAAAAGGGACCTTCAAATTATTTTTTATTGTACAGCTGTCTCAAGATTTACTAATGAGTTCTATCTACATCCACGTGGTATGGGACAATTGGCTTGAAGAATTAAAGTGCAATCATCTATTACAATTCACTGATTTGTCCACGTGAATTAAAAATTAGCCGATTCTCTTCGATTCTCTTGAAAACAATCCGACTCTCTTCAATTGCCGATATATTTCAAAAATTTTATTATCACGTTACTTTTCATGAAAAAATGTATTTCAACCGATTTCTTGGACCAACGTCACATCTCATCAATACTTGCTGGTCATTAGGATTACTAATTGTACCACCATAATTAAAGGTTTTTTTTTGTCGAATATTTATAGTTTTTTAGTAAGTACTTGGTACAATAAACAAATAAAAATTCCAAGCGTTGAGTAACAGAAATTTTTTTTTTTATAGAGCAACAAGCTTGGAAAAGCAATTTGGCGTAAATGTTTAATACCAACTAAGATAATATCTATGTCTCTTCGTGTTCAACAAATTCTTTCGAGTCATGCCCATTCTAAACAAAAATTTAAATTACAAGCGTATATTTTTTACTTGATACTTGATACTTTTTAATGTATGTACTATTTTTTTTATAATGTCACGTACGATATACATTGATCCACGTATATACGTGACAATCAATTCAACATTCCTAAAAATGTAAAATTTACGCAAAAAGAATGTTTTAAAATAAAAAAAACCTTACTATTGTATGTATATGTGTATAATTATATTGTAAATCTCTTTTATGAGTCAACAATTAAAACAACAACGGTGTATCATTTTCTCCACATTTTTGCATCATTTTTGAGATAAGTACAAGGGATGATTACAATTTTTTAGAGATCAAACAAGTTCACGATATCTGAAAGAATTGCGTTAGTTTGATAAGTATGTATAGATATTCTGCGTAAAGAACATGATATGCTGTACAGTTGTTTGCAGTTGTTGTCTTTGTTGATGTATTAATTATGTTGTATGTTTGTTTTCCAGTTGCGCTGCGCAATAAGTCAATCCTATGGGCTACATATGGTCGATTTTATTAAACCATACAAATATAAAATCTATACTTTTAAAGGTAGATTTTTGGATAAAAGGTAAATTGTAAGCTTGCCGCAAATAGCACAAACAAAATTAAATTTTTATCTTCTGTGTATAAAATTAGTTGCGGCTGGTTTATAACTAATTGTGTGGCTCTACTATAAGTAGTAATAATTTTTTTGAACAGCCATTGGTTTTTTCAACGCACCAACCGTTGATTGC